GTATCAATCCATTAGCCTGGGAGGACCCTAGGGAAGGAAAGTATGGAGTGGTGCAGCCATCTACGAAGCAAACCGGATCGATGCCGCCAAAACTATAAGCGCTGCTTGCAAGTTTCTGGCGCCCCCAAATTGCAACGTCGCCACTCAATCCCACCAAACTTGCCCGCGCTACTAACGAATATTTCGTGGTCGGATCGGCCTCGTCGGTGATCCTCGAACCCAACGCATTAACCGACCGCCGCCCGCAATTTCCGTCTCCACAACTGCACCTGTCTCAACCGTCACGTCGACCATATCGACGCTCACGCTCACCACAGACGCTTCGAATCCCCCGCATTTATGTCGGCCATTACCGCCTTCATTACCTTTGCCCCAACTACCGCAACGACGGCGGACGTAGTCATATTTATCATCAGTTCCAACTACGAAAACGCTCCTGACGCTCGGGTAACAACCCACGCATTCACCATAATCATCCCACATCCAGCTATGGTGGCTCAGTCCATACCAGTCCTCATTGCGACCGCACACTCCCCTCACACATCGGTCTGGTTGGTCATTTGCAAACCCATCGCTCAGAGTCTGGCGACCTAGTGACTGGAGCACCAGCCTAAACTGGCCGCACCTGCCTCCACTGCCCCCCGCACACTCACTCACTCACCGCATGGGCCTATTTGGTCACGTGCGTATCCATGGAGGCGGAATTGACCGCGATATAGACGCATCTAGCTCGTCTTACACACAAAACATTCCTAGCTCATTAAACACTTCATCGTCCAACGCGGCCGCCACCACCAACACGGACAGCTGCAGCACCACTACCATCAAAATTGTAAACGACTCTGACGCCTCCGACCTATATATTCACACTGCCCCCGCAAATTTACATCCCAAATCCGCCTGGTTGGTCACCTGCAAATCCATCGCATGAAGATTGGTGAACCAGTGCCTGGAACACCAACATACATCAGACGCATTCGCGTCAATTGCGTCCACCTTCCTCACACATTCGGCAACCGTCTAGATCTACGCGGCCATGTGCGGATCCAATAAAACCTACAGTAGACAACCGCCGGCTATGACATACCATAATACCGCCCTCCACCAGCACCTTCACCGCTCAACAAAATCGTCCACCAACGAACAATGCAAGCACTAAATTCACATCTCTCACTTAAGGGGAAAGTATTCTTCTCGGCTCCTTCTCCATGTGACTCCTCTGCGGAATGTAATATCCGAGTCTGAGAATAACCCGATGGGTTAAGCGCCGGGGATCGGAAGTCTGCCGACTGACGCCTCAACTCAATTCATGCAGTCTGCCCAGCTGTGTGTTCGTGTGGAGTGGGGGAGTGGTTACATGGGCCAGACTGTCATGGCTCCTCCTTAACGCGACCTCTGGCACTCTCAAGTATGTGAGGAGTTTGTACATATTCAGTCTCAGTCGACGATTGACTGCGTACTCCATCTTTGAAGGGTGATGATCCAGAAAAATGTAGGGCCGTGTCGCACTTCTGGGCCTCAAGGACTGCAAGTGTCTGTTATGTCAGGATCAGCATGCCGTAATCTCTTTTGCATTAAAATGGTTCAGCAGTGACTGAACGCATTACTGAGGCAGAGAGTCCGCTCCAGGTTTCAACGTCTCTCTGCGAGAAGGCGTTACGTCGGGCACCCGTACCGCCCAACGTCTTCTGCATTTTAAATAAATAAATAAATTTTAATCTAATGCCAGTTTACAGGCATTGTCAAGGGAAGCGATTAAACACAAATCCGACCAGCAGGGAAAAAAACTCCTGAGCTTAAGGCATAAAAATATAGTTGATGTTGAAAAGAAACGAATTGGGTCCAGCCAGTCTGGTTTCATTAGAGCGATGACCAAGATTTTTCACTATCTTCGTAGTCCACGTCTGCATTCGCTCCATCAACTGATATTCTTTTTTGAGACAAGGACGCCAAGCCTATACGGCATACTCCAAGAGAGACAGAAACTATGTCTAGCAGGTTTTACCAAACAGGCCCTTATCAATTTTTACAAACTTTCCTCTGAGCGCGAATAGCACCCGTGTCGCCATTTTAACTGTCTTCCGGCCCTGTGAAGATGATTTGAACAGAAGGTAACTGTAACATCAAGTTCCTTCTGTTCCTCAGCACTCCGTAGTGGCTGTCTATCTTGGAGGTGTTGCAAATAAGTATCTTCTTCTGTGGATTTTCTAGTACATGGTTTTAAGACCGCATACTTACCAAAGTAAAAATTCAGAAGCCGACGAACAAGCCAATTCTGAGTCTCTTAGAGAGTGTCAGTTGGCGTCAGACCGGATGGCTTCCCAGATTTTGAAATCGTCGGCAAACATGATCACTCAGCAGCTCAGGTTGTCGACCAAGTCACTAATGCAGATTAGATAGATTAACGGCCCCAGGACTAAATCCGGAGGGATCCCACTTAAAACTCGTATAACAAATAACTTCGAGTCACAAAGGAGTGCGGTTTGCGGTATCTCTGCAAAAAAATTTGTCGCCCATGTGAACAGCATGTCACATATTATAGCCTTAGCTTAGTTCTAAGTTAGGCGTTAGTGTGGAGAACTGTAGAACACCTTCCAGAAATCAACGTAGTTGACGTCAGCTCTACCGTCCTCAGTCAGTCAGTCCGTCAGTGTAATTTTGGGAAATAGGCTTACGCCTTTGGACTCCCTATTTGTACATAAAAATCGATAAATGAGCAAAAAGTGAAGAAATTACAACATCAAGTGAACGCAGACATTGATTCACATATGTCACCGGTCTCCTGACCAAAAAGTCGCATAGTCCGCTTGTTGCCGCAGCATATATCTGTCAAGCTGACATTTAAATGTCTCCACAGATTGTGACATGAAAATCATCTCGGGCAGGTTATTCCACGATTCCACGACACGGTTGGAGAAAAAATATTTTCTCACATTATATCTACTCTGAGCACACGTAGTTTGAAGCGATGTCCCGGAGGTTAGTTGAAGTGGCGAGTTGGAAAAAGTCATCGCACCGAAGGTCGCAGTCCCAGCCACGCACGATACGGAAAGTTTGTATCAATTCTCCGCGCAACTGCCTATAACTCAGAGGACAGAGTTTAGGGTTAGCTAAGCGGATCTCGTATGGCAGTGCACTTTGTCCTCTTATGAATTTTGTTAATCGCCTCTGCATCCTCTCCAGCCGATTAAAGTCCTGATGCGTTCGCGGTTTCCGGGCCTGAATTGCATATTCGAGATGCGGTCTTACAAACGTGCCGAAGACTTTGGAGCAGCAGTCTTCATAGAAAACAGTGAATGCCCGCTTGATGGCATGAAGCATCGAAGTTGCGGCCTTGGCCGCCTTACGACATTATGTAGAAGGTTTTAGGCTGTCTGCCACGCAGACTCCGAGATCTTTCTGCGTTTCTGCATCTCGAAGTGGTATTCCTTTCAGATGGTATTCCTGCATACCAGGGGTCTGATTTCCGAGGCGCAGTATGGTACATTTGTTTAACTTGAAGGACAAGATCCATTTGCGGGACCACTCGTCCAACTATGATTCAGTATATATGAGGGATAGAGGCAGAGCCTTGAAAAACCCTAAAAATTAGTAGCAGACAAAGATTTTCTTGGAAGTTGGTCTCATCGGCAACATTCTTCCAGTCTGTGGGAAGGATTCCAACATCAAACGATTTCTGACACAAAGGATAGTGGTGTGGCCAGCTGTCAGGCAAGCTCAAAGAGCAGCTTTGCTGGGATCTCGTTCGGACCGGGAGATTTACATTTCTTCAAGCTTTTCAGTTCTTTCAAAATCGGGTCTTCTCGAAACACAGTATTTTCGATGGTGGCATCTTCCATGTTCTCAGAACTAGATGGAATAAAGTCTGCTTCTCTTGTAAAAACGGATTAGAAAAATTGAGAAAAATGCGCAGCTTTATTTCTACTGCCCGAAATCTCCAAACCGTCCTCATTCCTCATGACGGGAATAGGATTCCTGTTGCGTGTGCTCTTTCGCAAATAGCTGTAGAGCAATTGCGGATTTTAAACTGCTCGGTGGAGCAAATTACTCTCGAAATTCCGTCGCCTCCTGAAAATCCTAGTTAGGTACAAAAGCCCACTGTTCGATCGAAAGCTACAAACTGGAAAGTCAAAACCCATTCCCTCTGAAGTCGTGTTAGAGCCTTGTGAGTAAGTCTTTCCCTTTCAGAAACTTCACGCCACGTTCTTAAATATGGTTTTCGTTTCTTTGCAACTTATGCAAATTAGACCATAGGGACGATACTTATTAACATTGATTCTGGCTGCACCCAGACAAATTTCTATAGTTTTTCTGTAAATGATAACAAAAGCTTTCTAACTTATGGTTTTGGGAAGACAGGATGTTCTACAAATTGTTTGTGCTTTATAATTTGCTTTGGAGTCCGGACCACTTTCTTCCTCTAATCAATCTTCGGTTAACCTTAGCAATACCAAATACGTGTACCTTCCTATCCCTCGGGAAAACGAGTCTCTTGAATAATGACTAGTTCTCAAGTCAGAACAACTTTCCGAATCCATCTGCAGAGACAGCGCTGAATTTTATTTGTTCATTTTGCCAGGTACCCTCCACTTCCTTTTGGACCGATGCTGTTAAGTGCCAATCAGACAGGTATTGTCGGTCCTACCTCCACACCAGATTTTTGGCTCTGCACATTAAATCTGTTTAACTTAAAATTCATACTCAGTGTTCGAATACGTAACCTTTGCTTGCATCGTAACAGGTTTTTGGAGGGGTTTTTCCCACAACAGCTCTATGTGAGGTTGGGTTTGCAATTAGAATTTCAGATGCGAATGGTGTTCAGCCCCATGACAAGGCCCAAATAAACTTCCGGAAACATTAAACGCTTTGAGATGTCCGAAGAAATTAAACTTATACACGACAACCTTATGCAATTGGTGAAGCCGACACCCCTTGTTTTATTTTCCCCGAGGTTTGAAGCGCTACTCGAATTTGTTTTATGTGCTCACGTTGTTGCGTTAATGGCTCCAAACCAGTTCTTGAAACCGGAGACCGCCCATGAAAAGGCAAAAGGTGCGTTTTTAAACATTAGAACCAACTCAAGCTAGTAACTCCATCACTTTAAAACCATTTATTTGAAGCAAACTCGATTTCATAGCTACGTGGATGTCCCCCAGGCGAAGTTGGACCTTTATTCACCTCCTTATCAAGTGTTGTGTTGGTCAACTTTGGTAACAGGCAAAATCACTATACGTAGCTGAATAACCAGCTATATTTTGACTGTTGGTTGAACGTCAATGCTCTTTTCTCGCGGGCACACCAAGCTATTGGGGCGTCTGCACAGTCCTCACAAACTTTCCGCGATTTGACTGGGACTTAAAATCTTACACATGTAGCCAGGTTTGATTAAGCAGAATTCATCGTGTCCGTTTTTGGGTTTTCCGCAACGCACACTCCTGATAATACAGTTACCACGACTGCAACAAGAGGTTTTTACGTGCCTTGTACACTGTAATAGTGCTTGTTTTCTCATGGGAATCGTGGACCTCACGTTTTTTAGACCAGCAACACTATAGTCATTCGAGGTGGGCTATTGGGGCAGACTTTGTGCAGTCCTCGAGACAGAAAAGGCATTTGCATTTATTGGAAGGTGATGGTATCTAGTGCATGCCTTTTCACGCCCTATGGAGTTTTTTGAACTGTGCGGACAACCATAGAATTTCATTTTTGGCGTCTGCCGCCGGTGCCATTATATCTTGGAAGTTTCATTGCTACTTTGAGCTACATTAAAATCAGTCATCACAACTCTGAGTTTCTCAATTTGTTACTGAATACCTTTCCGCCTGTTAGTGGTTAAATTATGCGACAACCCCTCTAAAATGTACTTGTATCTGGTATGGCTACGGTCATGCCTGATCCAGTCGGCCTCTATGATGTCCCGAACCGTACCTTTCCGCGCGCGACAGCAGATCTGGGCAGTTCAACCCATTCTCTTCATCAACGACGGAGGCCGAATACCGAAGGTTCAAAAGCCACTTCCATGTCTTGACGAATTGTATCGAATCAGGTTTTGATTTGATCCCCTCTTCGACGCTCCCAATGGGGTAACCGTTCCGGATAGAGGGCAGTAATACTGAGCTCCTCAGATGGACGATGAGGAACATGCCCAAACCACCTTAGTCGCCTTTCATGGGTGGCTTGGGTTATCCTTGTGATGTTGCAGCGAGCGCGGACTGTCTCATTTAAGACGAAGTCGGGGTACTTCACTCGAAGGATAGACCTTAAGCAGTGGCAGTCAAATATCTCCAGTTTTCGCTCATTCTCCACGCGCACAGCCCAACATTCACAACCATAGAGAAGGACAAACCGGGCGGATGCACGGTGCAAGCGAATCTTAGTGACGATGGAGACGTGGCGTCGGATTCATAGGCATTTTCTAAGGTTTGAGAAAACTCGTCGGGCAGCATCAATTCGGAAGACAATGTCGTCCTTACTTTGTCTATTCGGCAGCAGCCTCGTTTAGAGGTATCTGTACTCATTTCTCCTGGTGGGGCCTCGTAGCTTAGGCGGCTAGAGGCTTTGTTGTACTAAAGCCTCTCCTCGCTGTCGTGGATTCGAATCCCACCGAGGCGCCGTTTTTCACAGTTGGGTCAAAATGAAGTATGTAAATCGTCGTCTTCAACTTAACAGCCACCAATCCCGAGAGACACTTTCTCCTGGTCAGGGATACAGCCTAGAAACACTGGTCTTCCTAGCGTCTATGTATAAACCGGCTGATTTAGCGACCTCGTTCACTGGTAACACCATAGCCTGCAGGTCACCAAAACAGAACAAGCGACTGGATACAACCCTGTCGAATACCAAGCCGAATGCCGAACGGTTGGAAAAAATTGTTATAGACCAGAACTCGCGCATTGCTGGAGCGGTGATAGGCCTTGATCATGGCGACGATTTTTGGCGATGCACCATCTTATGCCATTATCCTCCACAGGGACTCACGATGGACAGAATCGAACGGGACGACAAAGTCAGCAAAACAGACGGCCATCGGTTGCTGGTAGCTATAGCGGAATTCGAGCATGCGCCCCAGTGTGAATACCTGGTTTGCACATCCACGTCCAGTACGGAGTCCGGCTTGGTTGGGCGTCGTCCTAGAGCCGCGCAGTCTGTAGTCGACTGAGAAAAGCGAAAGCGAATATCTTTACAGCAGCGTCAATGAGGCTTATGCCGCGGTAGTTCTCGCATCTCGTCTTATCTCCCTTGAGGGTAGGTACAAGAATGCTCGAGCCCCGGCCGTCAAAAACAACTTCGTCTCCACGCCTGTTTTACCACCTCACGCCATAGTGTCGACACAAGACTTGTAGATTTCAGCGGGTATACCGTCCTCTCGGGGTGCCTTGTTTCGTAGCCTTTGTATGGCATCGGCGACTCCTTCAGAAAGGGAGTCGCATTACAGTATATGTTGGAGAGGGAAGAAACTCCGCCGCAGAGGAGAGTGAGGGCGTGGTGAATTGGGTATCGGAGTTGGGAAGATGCTCGAAGTGTTCATGCCAGCGCTCGTTTGTAGCCGTTATCAGCTACACAGCCGCCATTTACGCCGCGAACTGAGTCACTCAGTGTAGAGGGCTTACCAACGTTCGAAGTCTGTTCCAAAGAGGTCTCTTTTTCAGCCCAACACTTCCTGCGGTCATTCATGGTCGACTTTGCCGTCATTTCCCAGAGTCGGCTGAGGGAGTAGTCATTGTGGGATCTTGCTCGAGATGTCTGAGCATATAACTACAGGGTTCTTCCGCTGATCCAGTCACTGTGGCTTCGCTGGGTATTTCCAAGAATTTTCTCAGCTGCACCATAGACTGGTGTTTTTGGTGACTACCACTGGTTACTGCCCTCGTCGGCTTAAGTCGTAAAGCAGGACCGAATTTCCCTGCTTAGGGCCGCGGCAGTGCTGGGTTGCCGGATTTTTGCGGCATCGAGGCGTCTAGGGTGTGGAATTTTGGGCGCAGATGAGAGGTGAACTTTCAACGACATGGTCCGACCTATGGGTGTTACCATTTTCGGCACAACGCATCTATCTGCCTTGAGCTGACTAGAATGTAGTCAATCTGACTGGCCGCATAACCACCGTTTGAATATCAAGTCAACAGATGTTTGCTACGATGTTGGAAGCACGTGTTGGTGACAAGCAGTCGGTTCTGGTCAGCAAAATTTTACAATCTCTCGCCGTTTTCACATCGGGAACCAAGCCCTAAACGGCCAAGAAGATGACTGTTTGTGGAGTCCCCAGGTCCAGTCTGACAATTCCAATCCCTGACAACAATCAGCAGATCGCGACGAGGGAGTCTTTCGACTAACGCCTGCAACTGCGAGTAAAACGCTTCTTTATTGCGCTGTTCGGCAGCTGAAGTTGTTGCGTACACATACACGATAGAGATTTCGTGAAGTGACCCTTCAGTCGCACGTAGGCCATCCTGTTCCCGAGTGGCTCCCGAGCAAGCAAAGGAAAGTTTGATTGTTGCGAGAGGGCGACTTCCACACCGTGCTTATCAGAAGAGTCTCGTGGGCCGCTGTGGTACAGGATGAAGTGTGACTAAATTGCTTCGCAAGGTTAATGTGGTCTAGCCAACGACGGAGCTCCACTATGCAGGCCAACAGTAGCAAACGCAGATAGTTACTGTCTAGTTCATTCCAGATATCTCTGAAACTCGTCATACTGTAGGAGCCTGCCAGTGTTTTTGCGCGGCCTGCTCCCATTTATTTCCTGAACTTTGCAGCTCTTATAGCTCCACAAAACAATCTAAATATGTGTTCATATCCTTTTAGTGACATTTATAACTGCTGATTCCACCGACTCGTTGTTTCAGGCCTAAAAAAATTGCCAATGACTGCTTTCGATTTGCAGTTCGCCGGCGGCAGACTTTCCGGCGAAGTTAACCTGGTTGACACACTAGTCCTGAGATCTGCGGAATCCGAGATGCCGTCTGTGTCGCCTTTCACCGCGTCCATCCACGTCTTAAGTTGGCTAGCTTGGTGTCATCGTCAAATAGAACTCGGTTCAGGCGTGATGATATCATCTCCGTCGTCGCATTCGGTTTACTTCATGACCTGTCTAGTGGCTACTACTGCTACAGCCTATCACCAAGCGGGCGACGCACGTGTCTCTCGTATTGCATTGCTGTCAAAAAGACGGCGAATTTTAGTCAAACCCACAGTTGCCCGGCTCGACTCATCTGAGTCGAGTCTTGACGCGTCGTTAATACGAAGCAGTAAAGAGTGAAGTACCAAATTTCGAGTACATTGCTCATGGGTTTAATCCGTAAAAAAGCGAATCAAACAATGCAGATATATCCTCGCTTTTTAGACGGAACATTGACAACTGGGCTGCCACCGTTCAGAAAGAGTTATGGTTGGCAGTATGCATGACTGATCCTCAGATTAACGCGCCGCCTCCTTTCATCATTAAGTTATGGCACCCTTGTGCGACACACTTTCAAACAGCTGATCATTGAATGGAAGTGGCTTAATCCAGTACAGCGTGAGCACTACTCAGAATCCCTACTGCGGTCTAAGTTGGGATTATCCAAAACCAATTCTTGAAAGAGTTTATTTGTTTAGGAAGTTCATGCTACAATTGTTTCAAAATCAACTGGCGCCAGCTTGATTTTGGCCGAAATTAGTAGCCACGTGGCTTGGAAACGGGAAATGTGTCCCAACAATGCACTCCGACAAAGGTTTATAAGGGATTTGCAGACACACTTGACAGGCGACGCATATGGTCGATTAAACTCGTAAGGTGTCGGAATGCCCCCTGTGCTGTGAGCGGATGAGGCGTGTGACAAGTTTGTCAGGGCTGGAAACTTATTCGCCAGTCGCGGCGCGACAGATGCACAAATAAACGACTAGACCACTGGGCGATGGAAAAAACGGTCGCGTTGGGCACAGACTGGAATCGAGTCCACATTGTTGGCGATAGGGGCAGTAACGGTAATATTTTGTGAGTCGGTAGAAGTGTTCTTATTTATGTTGCTAGTGGTGGCGCGACTGTCTCTGATGATGGGTTCGAGTAAGAATCCGAAACGATAGGCCAATAAACTTCTGTTTCAGTGATCGCATCCCGTTATTTACCTATAGTGGTGGTGTGTTATGAGATAAGAGGCGAGTTGGTCGTGCTGACATTAAGACAGATCCGCAGATTTCTGACGAGGACAATGTGTGCCCGGAGCGTTTTTCGACGGTGGTCACGATGGCGGGAGTTGCTGTGATGAATATATCTCTGCATCGACTTCGGCCATTCCAAAAATCGAAAGCTCAGTCTTTCGGTTTTAATCAAGGTTGCATTTGCGACCTTAGGTGAACGGTGGTTCATTGAACTTTATAGTCTCTCATAACTTTTTTGAATAAAAATAACATCACGTTCTTTCGTCCGAAACTTGTCATCTATTTAAAGTTGGATGCTTAAATGAAAGAGAGTGTGCATGTAGAGGACCTTCTGCTTTGTCTCCGTGTTTGCCACTTTCAAAAGGCTCCGAAATCCCTCCTGTCCTCTCTTGCCAACCCGTCTTTCTGGTGTGCACTTAATAACATCTGGCCCTACTTTTTAGAGCTTATTGGGGTTGGAAAAAAGTCCAATGCCTTGGAGGTGCTGTATGAGATGATGAGATTCCGCCGGGCTCGAAACTGGCAAAAGAGCCTGGAAGAGCCTATGCTTCTGTTTGTGGAGTTGTGTATCGAACTCAAGAAGAATCAGCACTTCAAACGAATAATTCATCAATATCGGAACATCTCGATTCAAGTAAACCCCTTTTCCAATCACGATATTCTTAGGAATGCCCCCAATCGCTGGACGACGTACTGAAACATTATTTTGGCCTAATTAAAGCAAAAACAGAGGAGGCCAGACAGGAATCGAAGGACGCAGTGCCTGATGTTGAGGACCTGGAAATTGCTGAAACTCCTGAAAGGTACGTACAGTTTCCGTTCTATATACTCTTAGTCTTATGCTGAACGCAGTAAGTGCTGAAGGCACTCAAGGCCGTTCTGACCACACGATTCTAATGCCATGGCTGAAATTTCTTTGGGAAGCCTATCGTATTTGTTTAGATTTGGTGCGCAACAATTCCAAATTCGAACATGTCTATCATCGTATTGTAAGGGATGGTAAGCTTAGTATCACGTAATATGCGTTCTCTTTAGCCTTTGACTTTTGCGTAGAATACGGACGAAAAACGGAATTCCGGAAGCTCAGCGAAATGGTGAGCATGATGCAATATATATTATTCGAGTTTCGGCTGCTATTCTATCACAGAATTGTTCATTTCGTTTTTCCCCTCATTTTTTTGAAAAGCGCCCAAGTAGGTTGCTCACACAATCAACCTTTCTAGTTGCACTGCATGTGTAAACAAAGTATTCCGATTCGCGGCTCAGTAGATTAGTTCCCAATGAGTAATAGCGATCTTTTTCTCCCTTAGTTTAGTTACTTCCAGGCATTCGACGTAACACTGCACTGTTTTGTAGCGGGCGTTCCTACTAGCTGTTCCATGTGCCACTCCTGCTCGAGGGTCGCACTCCCACTTGAGCGGCTGATCGTTTCTGTACCGCTTCCAGCTAGGGGTTTCCGTTTGATTTGGGGCAGTCGCACATTGAGCTCAGGAAGGGACTATGCGGAATCGGCTCAGGCTCATCTCTCCGCCTTTCATGGGCGGTCCGAGATATTATCAAGATGCTGTCACGACAAGCGCGGAATGTCCCATTTAAGACTACGTTCGTGGATGGTTCTCAGGCAGCGAAAGTCGAAGACCGCAGATTTTGGCTCGCATTTACCCACATGACGCAACGTCGGCAACCGTAATGGAAGGCGAATGAAACGGACGTTCACATTGCTCAAGATGTCACATAAAATCTGCTGGTACCCTTTGGGCGTTTCTAAAAACTCTTCATATGACATCGACTCGGCGGAAGATATCATCATCACTCTTGCGCCCTCCAGACTATAACTTGGTCCCGAGATGTTTTAAACTGTCCATATCAGACTGAAGGTCGTTAATCAGGAACTGTGTTGTCTTGGTCGAGAGGCAAGGTTTGAGAATAGTTTATTTTTACTTGTGTATGCGGATAACCTCAGTCATCTCACACTACATTCTGTAAGTCTTCATAGCCTGACGCTCTCAGACCCTATCTAGGGACTAAGTCAGCGATGTAAATAGAATAGATGATAGGAAACGTGCTTGCGAAAATGCTGACCGAATAACGAACTTTTGTGAAAACTCGTACGCCAGAATGCCTGGCAAAAGTAAGGTCACTCTTTTGGTTGGTAGGCCGCCAAAATTCACTGTCCGCCGCGGGGCCGCGTGTTGAACCCAATCTAATGCACTCAGTTAAGCAGGTAGCTGTCAGCTGCCGGTGCCCTGCTAAAATTCGCAGACGCACTAAGTTTTCATTTACATCCAGCGCGTCTAGCCGCCTCTCTGAATCCGTTCTCACTTTCCAACAAACCTGCACATGGGTCGATTGCGAATATTACAAGGTAGAACGTGAGTGAGCATTTGTCAGTGTAAGTGAAGTGGACACAACATAAATTTTAGAACTCAGAGGCAGGTGAATGTTTATGCGAGAAGTATCGCGAAGGGCAATTTTCCGCATCGCTTTGGCTACAAACGCCCGATTGGAGCGGGTATTTGAAAGAAGTAGTAAAATACCTTGACCTGAATCAGGCGGCCGATCTCTACTCTGGACGATAAAACACGTCTTCTAATTGCAATCAGAAAAAGCGGGCTAATGCATCTTCACTGCCTTCAAAATTGTTCAGCAAATGGAACGTACAGTTGACAACAACAATGCTTACCAGTCATTAGAGTATGAGACTAATTGTTTCACGAATTTTTCATCACTACAAAATCAGCAGGACAAAGGCATGACTAACTACTAACCAGTATTATAGTTCAACCATGTCTTCCCAAGACAAACGCTCCAATTTCGTTGCGCTTTTGATGACAGAAAGAGACGCCTATCATACAGTTTGTTAAAGAGAGAACAATGACAGATTCATCTAGTTGATGTTTAAATGCGATTTGCCAAGCTCAAGGACATTTTTTTCGATGCCGCGATATTTGCTGATCGATATGCACCAACAAGGGTACGAAAGGATTACAAACTCTACTTACTTGCTGCAAAGTGCAGCCAACGACATCTCGGACAACTCTGGATGAATTCGCCGCATAGTTGACTTGAGTTTTGATTTTTTCTCTAGTCTGCTACCATAGTGCACAAATGGCCTTATAACTGTCGTACAAATAAACAAAAAGAAAAAGTCAGCCTACGCCAATTATGGTAGACCAAGTTCGAGAAGAATGGCGACTTAATTTCATGACTCTGCCGTCATCGCCACTCACAGTGTAGTCTTTCGGTGCAGGGAAACTGCAATATACTATAAGTTGGGTGAGTGTGTGTCGATGACGCTTGCCGCATGCTCCATAACAGTCAGTGTGCCGACCAGTAGCCCCTGTAGTTACTGTTCAACGACACTGTCTTCGCTTTACTGCGCCGGTAAGAGTTTGCTCGGACAACCATAGGGTTCTTGAACTGGTCCTGCCTTTATATCGTCCATAGGTAGATCAAGAAATTACTTCATTCACTCCGTTGACCGCCGATATTAATTTCGACCATTTACTGCTGTCTTTTATTTCCATTTGGGCTGCACTTACTTAACCGCTTTTCGATGCTTCTCTCCTTTCAGCTGCGGATGCATACTGCAAGAATTCAAACACAACCGGTCGCTCAGAATGCCATCAGTCTGACGAATCCAGACACCCAAATTTGGCATTTTGAAACCAGACTGCGACAGCTTGACTGTGCTATGCAACTTGAGCTCTACAATGTAACTTGCGTTATTTTTTGTTCTGATGAGTTCTCCTTGAAAATAGGAGGCGTTCAAAACCATCGAAGACATCTGGAGCTTAGTTTTGCTGGCGAAGACTATTGATCGACCTGCTTTGATGGCTGACTACTATAACAGGGCAGCGGAACTCTTTCTCCGCTCTGGCTGCTATCTTTTCCACGCAGCCGCAGTCTACAAGCGCCTGGTATTGTATCGAGAACACAAGAAGGCGTTGACACCGGAAGAGTTGTCAGCTCTTGGTTCAAAAGCCCTATGCGCGGCCCTGTCCATACCCCTGCCACAAGCGAGAAGTCAGTTTTCTCTCATGTCTGCGGAGTACAATCAGTCCAAGCAGAAGGCTCTTGCAAATTTGCTTGGTACCTAGTTATTTGGTGTTTAACCGTCCCATTCCAGGCCTTTCCACGGTACCCACACGTAGTTCGCTATTGACCGACCTGTCAATGGGCAAGATCCAGTCAATTGTGCCCCCGGAGCTAACACAACTCTATCAAGCTTTTGAACTCGACTTTCAGCCGCTTAAGCTTGCCGAGAGAGTGAAACCGGCCCTTGACCGCATTGCCGAGAACCCAGCTTTGAGCGTTTACCAAGCACCACTGCAAGAGGTGCTCGTCTCGAAGACACTCCTTCAGCTCTCCCAGGTTTACCGTACACTACACTTCAGCCAATTGGCCAAACTCTGTCCATTCTTTGAGCCACTCGCTCTCGAAAGATGCGTGATTGAATTGATTTCCAATCTGGAGCTGCCGATGCGAGTGGACCATCGACGTCAGGCTATCATCTTCGACGTCTACATTGATCTCGGTATCAGCCAGAAGGATTATACTCAGGCCATTGGGCTGCCGGCACAGTCACAGGTGGGCGTTTTTTTAACTTTCTTGAGTAAATTGAGCCGCCTGCTGTTAGTATTTTCAAACGGTGTTTTTTGCTTCACAGGAGGTGGAGGGCCCATTTATTCCACAAACACACGCCGGCCGATGCGTGATAATACGGCTATATTAACATTCTTTTGTGCATATTGTCACCAGCAGCGAATATTCTCACAACGGGCGACGTGCTATCAGCGCGATGGCATAGAGGGAATCATTGACACGCCCGTGTTAGCGAATTTTATTCAGCCCTCTCCTCGTATTCAGGGTCGTTCGCCACACTGCGTTGTCGCGAGTTAAAAGGGGATTAGCAACCAAACGCAAACGTGCTTGAGCAAGTTTTAAATTGAGCGTGCTGTGTACTTGCATCCCATGTAGGTGCATATGTAGTATGCCTTTTCGATGTTGGTGTGCCTCCCCAGAAGTGACCACAAGTTAAACCAAATAACCCTCCTTGGCTTCTGGAAGCAGTGTGGTTCTCCAAATACCGTGACCTACTCAGTTGTAGCTGATGTAACAGTCAACCGAGTGGAAGCTCTTGAGCATTTTGAGCGCAGACGTCGCGGTTGCTATGCCAGTAGACTTCAACAGCAATAATTACTGCTCCACGGTTAACCATCCTTGATGACAAATTGTAAAAAGGTCGGTGATCCCCGGTCATGTACTATCTCTTCCCAGGCCTCCTACAGTTTCGGCTTCCCAAGATCTCGGTCATCAGAAAGTTGATTTTCAGCACCTCCGTTGTTGCCATCTCCTCAACTGGCGAGTAGCAGTAGCAATTACAAAAAATTATCTGAAAGGGCTGCCTCAATTTGCACTTTCAAGCGATTATGAGGTTGCAAAGGTCCGTAAACTGACCTCCCTGCCAATCGAGTCTAGTGCCCATAAATTCCCCCACCTCGGTTTCCATATACTTTTGCCACCAGTACCATTTCGAATGATAATAAAGTCGGAACTTTTCAGCGGAATTTTTCGGGCTGCTACACTGAGAATCATTCCCCCCTAATCATTTTTGTACTCGTCCTTCGTGGGTCCAGCAGTTCCCGACACAATGCAGAGTTTGCCTGTCTACCGTTTTTTGGCAGCTTGATAGAGGATTTGTAGGTTTGTACTCAAAATTCAGTCCTTCTCACCGGTGTTCCTTGTCTTCCCATCCACTTTACCGAGGTAGAAAGATCTGACGATACAAGCGAAAGCGTGGGTCTCAGGACCACCTTGAGAGGAAGGCGACTCGATTACTGCAGAAACAATTTCATTGACCTGATGCCTCAGTTTTGCGCTCGAATCCCTCCTCAGAGACCACAACAGATAGGGATGGTGTGCGCACAAGGGTTGCAGAGTTCATAGGGTGCATCTGCTCTGCCATCACGTTCCTATCAAAATTAGTAGCTTCTGCGTCCATTGCAGATGCTCCCACTTGGTGCGATGTCTGCTTGTTTATCGCAGCTTCATCTCCAGTGTCATTTGTGTGATAATTACTCGGCAATTTGAATCACGGATACAATCGTCGGATTTGTGCATGCTGCGTTACTTCTACTGCGGAATATGGACGACTGAAGATTTGTGAAGCTATGGTCTCATCGCACATCTCACAAAGGCATGCGTACACACGTCCTGTGCGTTCACTCTCCCTAGCGTCACACACGACCGCCGGGGGTGGGGTGGGGTGGAATTTAACTATCGAATGCCCGAGAGAATGCAATCAGTTCGATTTTTTTTGCTTTTGGCCAGTGAATTGCCATGTCAACTGTTTTAATTGATTCTTTCAGTGTTGTTGCTCGTGAATGGTTGCTTATGGGCGGCAGACTCAGTCTCTTTGCAGTCGTGGCCTAGTCTTCATGTTGCGTGCCTTCTCCAAGGTGGGAATTTCCGGTCAAGAACGCACATGTGACCACCCCTGAGAATAGGATCGTTCCTAGAAGTGTTTCTTTGCCTCCTCATCAATTGGCATAGTTGGGGCACAACAATAATGGTTATAACGTGTAATTGGACAGGAGTACGTCAGATCGGGATCTAAGCGTTTGTGTTCCTCGACAGCAGTGGTGTCGTCTTGGCCCGATTCACATCCATTTCCGTCACCGTAAAGTAGATAGAATTTGGCTTTTAACTATCAGCCATGCTGTCAGTATGGGGAATCATTCAGTATTTTTGCATTGCTGACTGCCTGTTGGCAGCTTGTGAATACTACGTAGTGATTCTGCAATAGCTGGTGGGGTTTCAGCTCAACTAGTAATGTAAACTTTCGGACCGTGCCTAGAAAGCTTTGTTTCGAGCAAATTAAAAAAGAGCAAGATAATTATTCGTTATTCCCTTAAATTTAGGGCCTGGTGAATAGGTTCATGGGGGGCAGGCAATCTCCCCGTCTTAAAGCTGAAGGCTCAAGATAATCCTTAATTGCCGGGCTCCTGGGTATGCGCATGTCCTGCGAAGACGCAGACTCGTATCTTTTTTTTAAACCTATACTTTACGGTCTTCTCTCTTACTAAGCTGCTTAATACGTTAGCTGCTTTCTTTGCCGCAGACTGTTGCCACTGATCAACTGTCGCGTCAGTTGGCTCTGTACGCACAGTCTCTTCAGCAAGTCACTGAGCTGCTCAATTTGAATGAACCCCTGAATACCCAACGTGACGCTTTCGTCGAGGAATACCGCCGCATAGCCGATCAACATCATCGTGAACTCCTGTCTAGACGTTACTTTATTGAAGACAAGAAAGAACAGTTAGAGAAGCTACAAGAGGAAAGAGCTAAGGTAACTTAGTGACACTTGTCAGAAGAGTTACTTTCTGCGCCCATTTCGCTTGCCATCTAATGCAGACTTTTATCTACTCTCCAGTTTATTGAACAAGAGGAGCAGCGCATTGCTGAGGAGAAGAGGGAACTTTTGAAGCAGGATATTGAGCAGCTGAAGCGCGAAGAAATCGAACGAGAGCGCTTGAAGAGTGAGGAGGAGAAGACGCGTTTGCGACGCAAGATTGCCCTGGAACGCCTTACCCTTATTATGCGTTCCGACGAGAATGGCCTAAATGCTCTAAAAGATATCACCGATGAACAGCTTGATCAATTCAATGCAGACTCTATCATGGAAAAGAAGGCATGCTTTCGTTCTCCCTTCATACTTCACTTTGGCCGTATTCTACCGGCCTGCTACGGCAAGCCGGCCTTTGAATGCATTCGTAGATTTTTGTGCCTGAAGTCCATTTGCAAGAACTTGATTGACAGATTCATTCTCTCGGGTCAACCTGACTCGACGGTGCCCTAGTTACCGTTTGTTCTCTTGTAGATTACAGAGGTTGCGAAGAAACGCCGCGATCTACTGGAGAAGGCCAGCGCGCGCGCCAGGAAGTTGGACCACCTAACACGGGCAATGCGTTTGGAGGAGATACCTCTTTTGCGCGAAGCTGCGGTCGCTGAGGAACGCGAACGTAGAGAGCTCTATGAAAAAGCACAGCAAGAGGCCGAGGACAACTCGCGAAAGGAACACGAAAATCGGCTCAAGAATCGGGATCGACTAGTGCGCATGCAATCAGATGTGCAGGTGAGCGACGTCCTATCTTTTAATCGTTTCAGTTTTGGTTTTCGCCATTCTTACGTAAAGCTGGAGACACTTCTTAACGTCTAACTGAGAACGTAAAACGAAAGTGGATTTCGGTTACGGGCACGCAGTTGGCTTCTTTCATTATGCGGTCTCATCAAACGGTTGTTCTCGCGCACCGTGAAACTCTTTTGTCAGACTTTGGTATAATTTGAGGACTGTATGTAGTCGCTCACCTCGAAGTTCTATCACATGTTGATTCGACCACCTTCTTCATGGCGAAAGAGGCTAGATGTAGTAGACCGATGACATTGAATCCAATAAGGTATTGGTCTGGTGGCCTGCCGTGCTCTTAGTTCCTGATCTTCGGTCTAAGTTCCAAATTGTCTGGTTGAGCTATTTGCAGTCTCAGCCGTGATCGACTTTTTAGCCGACGTGGATCGTCTGTTCAGCCTCAGAGGTCACGTCATTGCTTAGTTCTGGTCTTGTGTGGGAGTCACTGTCCGGTTTAGGCGGTGCTTGGCCTTAACTGCGACGACTGGTGCGCCTTTACCAGGCCTAGAGGTAAGGCTTATGCGTGGTTGACAGGCCGTTGGTTGTCTATTCTGCTGATACTCATGATGGCGACTTTGTTCCTGCTGCTGCTGCTGCTGCTGTTTGTTATTTTGGTGCCAAATGAGGTTTGGGCCCGAAACTACAGTCTCGACCCGACCTTGGTATATTTCTCTGTTCTCCATCGCTTCTCGGGGCAATTTCTTGGTGCCCCTGTTTTCAACTCCTGTGACAACAATTTGTTGCCTGCATTGCCCTTCCTTTCGTTAATGTATATGTATGTATGTGCATGCTTTATTTGCAGCTTGTACTCGAGGCCCTGAGGACGAAAGCCTCACGGAAGTACAAGGAGGAATTGGCCGAGTGGAAAAAACGGTGCAATCAGGTGCGTTCTGAACGGCTGGCCGAACGCCAGGCAAAATTAGAGGCCGAGCGTCAGGCGAAAATAGAGGCCGAGAAGCGTGCAGCCGAGGAGGCAGAACGCGCACGAGAGGAGGCTGAACGTCTCCGCAAGGAGGCTGAACGTCAACGAAGGGAAGAGGAGGAGGCAGCGGCACGGGCAGAGGCCGCCGCAAAGGCGGAGGCGGAGCGTCTGAAACGTGAGTTCTGAACCGCAGCCCGTGACCGAGGGACGAGAAGGCCCTGCTGACGTGTGCTGTCATTTGAGAGTTTGCCAAAAGCTACTTTGATCTTGATTGCGCCGCACACTGGTGCCTGTGAGCCCCTATGATGGAGGCCCACGCGAAAGCCATTTTCACCTGTTGTGTCGGATCTTAATCGACCGAAGGTACCTTCAGATAGAGGAGACAGGTTGATGGCTAAGTAACTGAGCGACGTGCACGGGTGCAGACATGCGGCCTCCTGATTTCAGCAGTTATGATTCTCGGCTGCGTAGGCCCGAAAAAATGTTACACCTAGTGTTTTGTCAAACTGTTGACCGTCCTGTTTTATTTCGGTCTGCCGTTACCTTAACTGAACCCCACATCACCCACGCCCACTATCTCAGTTTCGGGCGCTACGGGGATCAAACGTTTGAACCGCAGGACTCGGCTGACCACCGTCCCCGTCCCCGCTCCTCCGAGCTGAATCCTCTTCAATACGTAGACCCGTGCTGCCCACTCACTGCATTTGCCGTCCAGGTTGACTTGTTCGTATGAGCCGATAGTCGGACAACGTAGTTGCTACCACCATTAGCTTAATATGGCTGGCGTCCTCCTTCCGCTCATTTTTGAGAGCAGCTGTTGCCATGCAAGCTTGCTGCGCGTGGGTCTTGCGGGCACATGCCTTTCAAGATGCATGCGACAGGACATCTATGAGGAAATATGACCACGGTTCACCTTCCCAGATGCTACTCGGCGAGATCAAGGCGATCGATGAGTATCGGCACGAGATGCAAAGCATACTCGCGTTTTGCTGTGAGGGATGAGGGCGCAACCTCGTAATGTCTCTGGCATAACTTCGCACCTTCGATTTTATCAAACACCCTTTTACTTTCGTGACCAGTTGCACTATTCTCTCTATCGTACATGCAACACATCACCGTGGAAATGGTGAATAGACTGGGTATATTAGTGCTTAGCCATTGGAATCTCATTGTTATCTTTTGTCTCTAAATAGGTGAAGCCGAGGCCGCCGCAGCAAGCAAAAGGGAGGCCGAGTTCCGTGCCGAAAGGGAAAGGAATGCTGCCCCTGCTTTCGCGACCGCGTCTCGAGGTTTGTGCTACACTGTCTTCGCTCATCGGAGCTGGTGGACATTCACAATGTTAAGAGTACTTTTTGGTTATGAGATTGCCAGAAAATGACTTTAAGTAGCCATTGGGGCCATCCGCGTATAGCGATCACAGCGTCAAATCTACTTGATAAACCTGTCGATCATGACCTTGAGTTGCTGGCTCTGTGCTGTTAAAAGGCATCGGGAGGCCTGATGCGCCTTTCGAGCTGTCGGACCTTGTGGCACCGGAACTTTCCGGTTTTCCTGTAGGATTGGGATCCCAGGATGTGCATTTCCGAGAAGGTGATTCGATTTCTGGAATCTCGAAATTTATGCCAAGTAAACCGGGGAACTGTTATATTGTAAGACACGTCTTACGATGTCCTTAGCTGATTTCATCTCTTTGGCGGAAGCCTGAAGACTGTTAGTCCATACCATTTTCCATACGTGGCCCGACCATCCGTTCCCTTGAATCACCGCCTAGTTCGCCTCCAAAAACTGACTTCGTTGCTGCTTTAGGCCTAAAAGAGGGCTACAAAGGCGGTTGTCATACTTCCGACGGCCGGTGCTTATTGTGTTAGAATAGATGGTAGCAAAGAAAATGTATGACGCGCGTTAGGAGACTATGCGCCACGCCAACCTCTGGGCTAGTTTCTTCTGCTCAACCTGTGTTTGCCACTGGGATGGGGACGAAACAACCGACCCAGCTCTTGTCGGGCGCACACGTTACTCACAACACATAGTCTAACCCCTTTAGACTGACGCGCTCAAAGTCGTGGTCTTGAAGACTGCCATCACTCATTAGTGTGGCCATTATGGCAGTGTATTCCTCTGAGGGATCCGTCATCCACTTTTCCAGAATCTAGTCTGTTTGCATACAACAGTGAAGACGCGTGTGACAGAGGTCGGCGAGGAATCAAGCTCGCTAGCTAGAGCGCCCACGTTCATCTCTAGCCATTTTAACTTTACCAGTAAAAGTGGTGAGTGTGTCCAGAGTGCGGGGCGAATTCGGCGCATGTCTCCTTCACTACAAACAATTTGGGACGCAAATCACCACTGCAGCCTCTGTACAGAGTGGGTCGTCATCGTGTGCAATGGAAGAACAGGTATGGAACATTTAATCAACCGGCGTCTCTATACGAACTACCGTTTCTCATCCGCATTTGCAGACATATTGTCCGGACTATTACATCCCGTTATGAGCTCCGCCAAAATCAAAAAAGTGTTGATTGAAAATTATGGTGGATGAAAGAGAGAGATAATGTATTGGGGCCGTTAACGGCCCATCCACGTCCCGTGGGACACATCTCGGTAATGAGGAAGTGTTCTGCAGAGCGTGCACAAGCTACAGTTCCTGCGGACAGGGTGCGGAACAAAGCCGTGACGCGTGCAGGAAACATCTACGGGCCTGACGTTCCGCATGGCAATCCTAACGCGTTGCGGGGTCACTCTGCAACTAGGTCGTTGGTGTATGGACCCTAATGACTGGCTTACTGTGTCCGTGAGTGTATGCCCCTCAAGGTGGTGAGCATATCCTTCGCCAAGACTACAGACTTCTTTGACTTGACTGGACCCTTCGCTGAACTCGGTGACGACATCAATTGGCGCTTGCTAAGCGACGGTATTTTGCGTTAAATTACTAAAGATGATTGGGGTAGTTTCCCCATCTGCAGATACCTGGGACATACCCTAAGCGTTTTGATAGCAACTTAATGTCAATGTTCGACGAGCTCAGCGTCTAACAGTATTTATTCCATAACCAGACTAGTGACCGCCCCTACGTATCAGCCAAGTACGAGTGCTTTTTAAAATGCCATAGCTAAGCGGCTAAGCCATTATTTACCGAGGTGCTGCCCCACGCATACTTGAGGGGAACGAAAATTTTTGGGCACCAGTGTACAGGTGATGTATGACAATCACTGTACGAGGGATTTCAGTAGTGGATTCGGTCACGTCTTTGGCTGTCCGATGATTACCTTCCCAATCATAATGCGATCAGGCCAGTTAGCGTGCATGGTCTTAAATGTTCCTGCTACTCCCATGTGTTATTTTCTGCCCAACAAAGGTGGTGACGCCGAACCACCCGCTCGTCTCTCGTGGGCAAGACGCGGCCAAGGGCTTCACACGGAGACTACTGCCCCCGTTTTCGACCGCAAATCGCGTCCTAATGCTGCCGCAGAGTAAGTTGCTTATGTGCTCATAGATTTAGCCACATTTCCAAAAAACAGCTACATCTTTGGAACGCATTCTGTCCTGCGGTACTTCTTAGTTCAGAACTCTCGCCGACTCTAGAGTTTGTATTTCAACAAGTTCGGTGAATTTTCACGTATTGCTGGAAGAAGCTCTCAGCCCCAGCGACGAAGTCTTTGTGTGATCATATTAGGTCATTGTCGAGTACTATATTGTTTTTAATCCATTTCTATCCTAATATAAGCTCTAAAATTTAACACTACTCTCTCAGCTTGTCAATTTGTTTTTGAATTACCGAGTAACTGAATCCATTGGGGGAAACACCTCCGCTCATCCCCTCTTATCCGACGAATTTGTGCTTATTGTTTTAGGATTTTTGTCCGTCTCTGTTTCAACAGGATGTGCGATAAATTTCAGCAGAGGGATTTATATTTGTTAATGAAAATCGACTTTCGATATAGATGCACAAGCATGTTGCAGAATATTTCCTTTGAACGACGACCTAAAAGGATCTTTTATACAGAAAAGACAGAAGCCATTTGGCCCCTGAGCTCTCTGCCCAGCTAACGTGGTAATTCCGAGTTTCCAATCTGTCGTAGTGATTTAGATCTGGATCGAGCATTGGTGAGAGTAAAAAGCCTGGTTCAGGGAAACTTAATATTGATAGAAGTGGCTCATAGTACCTGCATATGACCATTTGCAGTTAGCCGACCCATGTCTTTTCAACACTGACCGAACACATTCGGTTATTGTTTGTCTAGACTGCATTCGTCGTTTGCCCGCGGCCGTGGGTTTGAGGCTGGTGGGGGCTTCCGTCATAAGTAAGTTTGCCATGCAAGCAAACCCTTGCTGCTGTCTTCTTTGGTCTGCAATTGCAGTGACTCATCCCTCTCTTCCTTTAGTCGTCCTGCTTTCGGCATAGACACCAGCTCCTTCGGTTGGATTCGCAAACAGGTTCCTCCGCCTGACCAGAACCCTGAGTACGTTAACGCCTTGCGAACCTGCTTCTGGCTTTAACTACCCGGCTTCTCTAATAGCCGCTCTTTCCATCCAATCGCATGGGGTCTCTTTGGGGAACGTTCTGAATATTCCCTGATGATCCTCCACTCCAACCCGTCCTGCATAATTTTACGATGTTACTTGCATGTTAGGTGGGAGATACCCCTTGCTCTTTTGGCCAAAAATTCTCTGTATTGGGCTCTGCACAAAAATATTAAGCCAATTTAAGTTCTTTCCGAGTAACCGAAATGAAATTTTTCGATTTGCTTGTTAGATGGCTGGAATTTTTAAATGTCTGAAACCACATAAGGAAGGCAACCGTTGGCACGTAGGCTGCAACTGCAGCCTGAAAATATGTCTGTGGGCAGTTATTGTGCGCCTTTGTCTTCGCGAACTACCTCTGCGCTTAGGGAGAAATCAAATTTTATCAAAAATGAGTATTGCTTTCGGTCTATGGTTAAAGCTAACTGCTATGTTAGCCCTCCTTTTCCCCTCACAAAGTGGTTAATATACTCCCTTTTAGGCCGAAATCCACCGAAAAGCCCACCAAACAGCAGCCAAAACAAGACGAAGGTATGTTCTATTCACCATCCATGATTTACTGGGTATTGTTTGGTTGCGCTACCTGCATTGGTCAACGCCAACCGCATACAACTGATATAGAGCAACTGCCGTGTACTCTTGCCTGTTTCCACGACTTGACATGCCAGCAATTTTTCAGAGGCGACTTCAAAATTTCCCGTCAGCCTGCTGATCGACCACGCTTCTCGAAGGTGTGCCATTGAGGCCCTGCCAAAATACACGACCTAAATGTGGTGGTGCACTTATGTTTGCAATGCGTACGTTGTAGCTGATCCTAAATGCGGTAGTTTAGAACCTGCGCCAGTTGCTACGATAGTTTAATGGTTACGAAAGGCGTCCAAATGTATAAAAGGAAGTGCTCCTACCTTCATAAGCACATCGTTCAGTTGCCTATAAACATTTTGAAGGCCGAGAGAATTCATATTACTCTGTGAGGCAGAAGGGTTAAATAATGTTCAATTTTTTAGACAGTTGAGTCACTCGCGGTCAGAAAAACTCTTTCTACTAGACAGCACGAATGGTCAATTTTCAGATTAACATACATCTCTTCATCATCGAGTTAATGTGCCCGTGTGCTAAAGATTTGCAAAATACTCAATATAAAATGGAAGTGGTTTAATCCAGCGCCACGAAGGCATTACTGGAAAACTCACCCTAGTCGCATACCGGTGAGCAGTGCTGTTATAATCGAGGTTACTTAAAACTCATCAAGAGGGGAGCTTGGCTGGTGCAACCAGCCTATAATAGTTTAGAGGACTTTTTTACCATGAGGTAGTAACTCCTAAATGCTGAATACTGTCACGTATGTCACACCAAGTCAGGCATCTTAGAGTCTGTAATACGGATATTTCGACTGTCCCCCCCCTGACGACATCCGCTTCTGTTCCGAATTGGGCACAGTCGCGGTAAGCTAGAACATTTGTTTATGGTGAAACAGACTTGTGCTGCATCTGTCGCATGCTGCACTTCTCGTGTCCGTCGTGAAGGCGCCTGGGGACGTTCTCGGATGCAGTGAGGGACAAAATTGGATGGCCCGCCTGCACACGCCCGCTTAGGTACCAGAAAACCCATACAGCAGTCATGCAGTGGGGTTCTCCAACGTCGTTGATGGCAAACAATGTATACTATGTGTCACCTCAGGATGCATGGGCAGTCACACTGACAAGGTGACTTTATGGCGCATATTTAGACAATTTACCAGAGTCCTTACCGCCGTCCTTAGCTAAGTGGTTTCTGGATTTCGTTAGAATCCAAATGACAAAAACGGGGATCCAGACACTGTGTTGCTGAAGACGATTTGTGTGTAGAACACCTCTGACGTGCCGAAGCAGATCCAACTGAGATGGAGCAGCAGTATTGTGAGAATGAGTAAAGATTGCATGCTAAAATGACCCCTATGAGTACGTTGCTATGGGTACCCACAGACTAAACATGGTTCCGACTGCGGTAGTTCCTGCATACCGTCCTAATGGCACCTACCTGTCCGAGACTCTTGCAGTAAAGCCTACTTCGTATGGAATCAGAGGCAAGGCCGCGTGTGGCACGTCTGGACGAGCCATTTAGCATTTCATCCACAACGCCAGAGTCCATCTCAGGTCGTTTTCAGTTTGCCTTGTACCACGGTATCTGGGAGGACTGACGGTGGCGTGCATGCATCACAAGTCATTCACTACAAACAACTGCATGCACGAGCTCCCACTTCGCCCACATCATGAGACAGTGATGGAGCCCGTCGGACTATCAATGTGCGGACGTTTGATAACGTAGTTCTAGTCCTTCCTCATTACTGAACTTCACCTGATTGCCGAATAACGCGTAATCGGCGCCACACACGTGACAGGTATTGGAGTACTCCTCTGAGGAAGATATGCCTTCCAGAATGTCGTTCTTATGCCCCAGAACTTATCATTTCTTAGTAAGTCACATATTAATCCCTTTACCTTTTTAGGCCTTCATTTGGGCTGCGATTATTTTCTTTACACATTTTTCTCGATTTTGTAGATGACGGATGGCAGGACGTGGGCCGCAAACACTGATTTCTGGGCAGTCACCTTTCCACTTTCCCACAACAGACTTTGTTATTCACGCTCTCATCGCCTCTTGCGTCCTCATTCCTCCTAACCACATCTCCTTCCCGACTCTTTCCCCACAACTCACTCGAAAATTGTTTCTGTCTGTTGGTTGCCCTTGTTCAATTAGTGGTTGCATCTCGTCACTTTTCACGTCTAAATGACTTGCTTGACCCACCGGTTGTTGAGTACAACTAGTCCCTAAAATAAATATTGCTACCATGGGTCGGATTTTCCTTCCGTCGTTCTCAACTACGGCCCTGTATATGACGAACCGCCATGCCTGGCGTTCGTGGAGCAGACATTGTTCGTGCTGTCGCGGCTGATTAAGACTTCCTAATTCAGCGGGATGTACCGTAGGTCACGCGTTTAACTTTTTTGTTTTATCGACTAACTGCGGCGAGAACGAACGTAGAAATACGCTGGCAGAGGGAGGGCTGGTGATGACCGGCCACCACTGCTATTCTAACGCCTGTGAAGGCGCAAACTGCGTCCAGGCGACGTGGTCTACGCGCGGACAGCTTGTCGGGAATTTTCAAACTCTGTTTTATTTCTAGCGGCCCTACCACACTTATTAAATTTATGCTTTAAATCTGCCACATTCCCCGATGGTAAACGCGGTGTGCATTTTACGCAAGGTCTCATTTTCGGCATTCAGCCTTCCTTGACGCCTAGTGGGTTCCAGAAACAGTGGTTGTGTCCTCTCATTTTTGGAAATCAATCTGCCATAATAGGTAAATAACCCCGGAAGCGTCAGAACATCTGAGCTCACACAATAGTCTATCAGTGGAGACCAAGAAACGATGGCAAAAGGCGCGAAGTCCCAGTAGTGGACGGGCAGCATATAACCAGTCCACAACGCAGTGCACAATCCAGACCATGATGCACCTGGGTGCGCGACCTGGAGGTACTTTCAGTTGAGCGAGACGGTCCAAGCATCTAGGCTGCTCTTGTCCATGCGAACGCACGGTCAATCCATGGTGCTTATTAATGGTATAGGTGTTACCCTCTGGAATGGTGTTTGGTGCGTGCGCGCGACGCACTAAACCCAAGTTTAGGTCGGGGCTGCGAGACTTCCTTTAATGCCGGAAGGCTGGCCGCGGCAGTCTGCGTATGGGGCTTATGTGAGTTCCATTTGGTGCAACTGTAGTGTGATTCTCGAGTGTCGACCCTATTTTTTCCTAGAGACGACCTCAGAACATCAAACACTTTCAAGTCGACATGACAAAATCGCGTCGTTTTGACCATAAGTTCGTTGTCTCTCCTTGCCCTGTACTTTAGGCGCAGACTTTCTTCGTTAATTTAAGTGTTTTTTGGGCTGACGTGAAGTCCTCCGTGCAGACGGAATTGATGTACCCTGTAAGGTAGTAGTAGTGGTAGTAGTAGTAATAGTAGTAGTGGTAGTAGTAGCAGTATTAGTAGTAGTAGTAGTAGTAGCAGCATTAGTAGTAGTAGTGGCAGTAGCGTCTTCGGGGAAGCGGATTCGCCACCGCGATCTCCAGCCCTGACGCCTCAAGGGACAATTTCTACGAAAACCTGCATGCCCCCCTGGCGACTATGCCGGATGTAGATATGTTGATTGTCCTTGGTGACTTCAACGCTCGCGTCGACGCAGAACATGCTGCCTGGAGGGGAGTGCTGGGTCCCCATGGTCTCAACGACTCCAATGAACCTGCGCAAAACGCCGCCTCATCCTGACGAACACGTTCTTCTGTCTGCCGGAGCGAGAGAAGGCCACCTGGATGCACCCTCGGTCGTGACACTGGCACTTGCTGGACTTTTTCCTCGTCCGGAGGCGAGACCAGCAGGACGTGCAGGTTACAATGGTGCTCACGGGTGGGTCGACCATCGCCTCGTCATCTCAAAGTTGCGGACTCGCCTAATGGATGACACCTACTAGGACGAAAACTATACCAGGTATTTAAGTCCCCTTCCGAAATTCAAAAATTAGAGGAGGGGATGCATAAATTGGAGAAAATTGCAAAACTAAAAAAGTCTTCGCTGGTGAGTATGAAAAAGAGCATCAGAAAAAAATGACGCGAGTGGAAATCGCTTTTCAAAGCGCGGTTAGCACTAAGATAAAAGAAATTGCGTCAACAGCGCTAAATACAGCAGTTGACCTTCCTTCCGTTCGTAGAGGAGATCAAAATAAATTGTGCACTTGGCCATTGTCACTCAGTTCAGCCAGCTGGATGCCTCGCCAAGTGGCCATGTCGAGAAGAGCCGAGGAGGAAGAAGTCAAAGAAAGTCAGGAAGATTACACAAAAATGAGGTCCAAATCACAGCAGAGGTCCTTCTAGACAGATGCCCGACCGGATTACCGTGTCGGTGATACAGGAGTCACTGAAAAACAAACCAACGAAGTTCACAAAAGGTCTGTCATTAATTTTAGAAAGTGCCACTCATACTCTATGCACAAAGCATATCTGACCAGAATATAATTATCCTTGACGTGGAGCTCCATTTGCAAACCAAAGCACCAAATCACGAAATATCGTCATGAGGGAAGCTTTCTAGTTTTCTTCTTCGGTTTCAAAAGAGAGGGTCGAACACGATTCTAACCTCTTCCCAGCATATTCAAATGCCGTCCTTGGGGATACAGAATATGTTGCCGTGCACAAAGCTTTCCTTCTAGGAAACGTAGATGCATCGTGTAGGTTATAATCACCAGGGCCTCTCAAGATTATTCTTGAGAAAGAAGTCCAAGCTTCCCACTCGGGATTATGAACAGATCAACAAAAAGTAAAGGCGCTCTGGAAAAGAGGGGGAAATAGGTAAAATAAGGGAGGGGAAGACAATACAGCCCAAATCATCGTTCCTGTGGCCGAGGCCATTTCTATTCGGAGTTGGTCCTCATTGAGAAGACAGATACTGAAAGCGATGTACTCGAATGTACAGAGCCTGTTTAACAAAAAGAATAACTTCAGTACTTTACCACAGGTTTTCATGAAAGTGCATATGACCGAATAAGCTCATGTGGTTGGTGGATGTGCGTGGACAGTGTGGGCAGTTGTGGGAATGGCCGTCGGTGTATGCTGATGTCCCTGACACCGGTTCGCCAGCCTCTGTGCGACGGATGCGCTGGTGACCGACCAGACTGTTGTGTGACGTACATGTGAGGCGGCAGTGAGGGCAAAATACACTCGGGGCTGTATAGTCGGTTGGGATGGTGAGGCATTTAGCCGTGGTAATGCTGGTGGATTGGGACGATGTTAGTGCTGGAGATGGGAGTGTTTTCGGGTTTGTATGGCGCGTTTGAGTAGTCGATATTGCGGTGTGCTCCGCTTTCGTGAACGCGCACGTGACTAAATAGGCCCATGTGGTGAGGGAATATGCGTGTGCGGTGCAAGGAGCGGAGGCGGGTACGGAGGGTGCATGTAGGAGCTGCGGGCATCGGTACACCGGTCACCGTGCGATGAGCTCCCAAGCGGCCGACCGGGCCGATATGTAAGCTGAATGTGCGGTCTCAATGAGGACAAGTTGAGGTCGAGTCCGCATTGCTAGTGGTAAGGGTGGAGTGGTCGACAAGGATGGTGGCGAAGGTAGAAGCTGACGGGACGTCGGATACTGTTCGCGGTGCTTGTCGCTGTGAGCGATGCAGGTGTTGGGGAAAGGATAATGGTGCCAGTGTTCGAGGGCGACGCAACACCGGTAATGTGGTCACGACCTGAACGTAGAAAGGTCTTATCTGCACTATGATAGAATGTAGCCAAATTTTTTAGAACAGTACGTCAGTCAATGAGCTGGAGCCTGAGAGAAAAGATTTAATTTGTTCTCACAAGCCAAAGAAGAAATATATTTCAATGGAAGGGTGACTGGATAAAGACTATGCGATAGAAAGTCTGTCCTCAATTTCGATTAGTTAATTCACCCGATTTTTTCGTGTTGAAGACCAAAAGTCACATGTCCATCTTTACCCTCAGGAACACTCCATCAAACAAAAATACGGCAAGAACGATGATCGAAATACATGTAAATCTCTTATGGACAGGACAGTGGGCCCGTGTCCTAATTCTAAAGCGTCGCACTCTATTGCCAAAGCTACAGGGGTCAAATCCGATGTGCTTCAAGCCTGGAGTTGGGTGCGGCAGGACAATGATCCCTGGTAGGGAAGAAATGGCCATTCCAGCCTCCTTTTTCTTTGACGGGCCTCTCCGGCACTACTTATAAATCTCTCTCAGCTAGAATTACACACGACTTTGCGAGCTTCCGCGTGACACAATTTTTGGACATCCATACTGCATATGTTTTGGTATTTTCCTTTTCAGAGGTGCCAAAATCTGTGCTCTGCTCTGCTCTTCTTCCTTCCACACTTCTAGCTCTCCACGACCCAATTTGGGTACGGACACCTTGCGAGCCATCAGTGCAACTTGCAGGCCTAAAGTCGTCCAGTTGACACACGACTTCGTTTTCCAACTGTCTATAACGTTGAGGTAAGTCATTTCACATGCGTGTTAGGGATGACGCATAAGCTAGTTTTTAGAAGACCCTATGATGCACATGAACTACCTGTCTGAGTTGCTTTCGGACGCTTATTCATTTTTTATTGATAACGAGAAGTGATTTTGGTATGACACCAGTGTCGCAGCATTCTGATTCGCAGCGAATCAGTGTTTCGATGCTTTTTTATTTTTTTGCATACGCTGCGTTTTGTGGAGAGAGTGCCACACTTTTGTCCATTGCGGTATCGCTTGTGGTAGCGGTGATACTGTCAGCTGATGCAATTCTACTAGTATTATTGGTTGCAGAAAGAGGCTGCTGCATTAGTTCCCTATTTAAGACGTTGCTAGTGGTTTCTGCTGGTAGTATAGAACGC